CTTGGGCCACGACCCCCTCGACGTTCCCAATCCGGAGGACTGGGTTCCCGAGGGGGTGTGGATGAGGAGGTGGCATGATATTTCCCCCAACCTGAGGTTGAAGGGGAACCAAAGTGCCGAAGGCACCCGGGTTATGGGTGAGCGTCTGGACGAAGGCGGAAAACGCCGATTGTACGTCGATTGTGATGACCGGAGGGCTAATTTGATTCTCGCTTCGGTCCTTCTTCTTGGCCTCGATGCCGAGGCGGGCATCGGGGCCATTCTGTTGAATCTACTGGCGTAGGTCGACAGCCGTCTGGTCCAACCCTGCGATGACGCCGCCCCCGGGAGCCCTGTTAGAGGCTTCGGGGACGTCACCTTCGTCGAGGGCCAGGTTCCTGTCTTCGACATTTTTTGAGTTGGCACGTGTTGTTCTCACCATTTTAGCTAGGTGTTTTGTGTTTGGTCGAGGGGGAGGGTTTCTTACTTGATTGTTCGACCTCTCAACGAGAGCACCAAATGATGGATAGTATACTCGGGGGTAGCTTATCCGAGGGGTTATTGTGGAGAATAACTAGAGAGAAGTCAGAGCAAATAAGTAAGAGAGAGAGTGTATATTCGATATGTATTAAGCGTGGTTTACAACGGGGAAATGGGGTGCTATTTATAGTAGCAATAAATGCCAGACAGGGACACGTGTCAAGTATTCAATTGCCGAGGGGTCACCTCAACTGGTTGGCGCTGGCAATCGCATGTGGCCGCATTTAATGCGGCTGTTGGACGTGACGTCGTACTTGGTACGATGATTCATACGCATGTGGAGCGGATATTATGTTGGGAAAGGTGCCCTCGGCTGCAGGTGATTAGCCGAGGGCTCTGAGTACCGGGGACCTCCTTAGTGCAGAGGGCTCTAGTTGCCGAGGGCTACTGATTTTCGCTGTTTTCTCCCAGTAACTTCGTTTTCCAGATTTGGCCATCCTGTGAGAATTGGAGCCTTCGGACAGGGGGCCGAAGGCACCCCTAGTGCGCCACGTGGGTTGCTTGGTACTTGGAGCGCCGTGATTTGGGCCTGATGTGCTTCCTGGGCCTATTGGACCTCCATTAGAATAGTAGGAGTCTATGGGCCGGGGGTTCCTAGGCCATATACTCCATCATGACCCATATGGCCTTATATATTAAGCACTAATCAAAGTAAGGTCTTAGTAGAATCTCTAGACGATTTACCAGACAAACTTAATATATAAGGACGTTTGCGAGGACTATTCAAACTCTCTGTAATATAGAGCTCATAGTGATACAGTGCTTTCATTCAACGAACATTCAACTAAGTCTAGAACATGATATTGTGTCTATTCCATTAACTTCGTCTATGTCTCTCAATATTTCTAGATGATCCATAACGATCATATTCGATATCCAAAACGAATATATCTTTGCATTGGCCAATGACTTTATGATCCATCTGGATATGAGAAGTAAAATGTTCTCTTTTAATCTATTATGAGGAATGAATCCTTTCTTGGCTCAACTACTACTCCATGTGCTTCGTGATGCACCCAACACATGCAGTATCTACCCCGATTGGAGTGCAATCGTTGGTCATGGTCAAAGTACATCACTCCGCACATGTAGTACGTATGTATTGACCTCAAGTCGGAGGACTATTACACTACTCTATACGCCGATAATCTCATAGACACATGAATAGAACTTATCAAATGCTTTCTCGGTAGGCATGCCAATATTCTCTAAAATATATATGTGACCATCATGAATTGCAGGAACTCATAGTTGTGAGATCAACTATACTTTGTAAAAGCATGATGCAGTCCACATACCAATCTTATCACATATCATCAATATCCCATTTTGATGATCATTGATTGGGACTATTTTAGGACCTTATGTTATATCATATAAGTTCTCACTTACTTATTGACAACATAAGTACAAGGGAACACAATTATGAATAAGATATTGACAATCGAAATACTTAATCATCAATGTGTAATACCGTATATATCAAATATCAAATATATAAAACTGAATGTGCTCAAATACATATATATCTAAAAAGTGATTGTCGCTATGACATATATACTAACAGAGTATGCTTAGTAAGCCACACTTTAAGCATCTCTTTCAGTTAGTAAGCAACTTTTTAAGCAGCTTGATTGTTTACTTCATCTGTCTTACTAATCTAACAGTAACTTTAGCAATGAAGTAAACACCTCCTTAGTTTTGAGATGTAACCATAATAGTGTATTTTGTACGGAAAATAACCAAAATGGACGTAGTATAAATGATTTATAAATTACTAAAAGTGTATGGTTAAGGACACTCCAATCTAAAGTTGTGAACATAAATATAGCCAATGTGTTATTGTTATGATAACTATCTATTAAAAAAACTCTATTAACGTAATGTTTTTATCAGTTGTCATTATTTTAAACAATATATGAACTAAAAATGTTTTTACTTGGATTTATTTCAATTTCAGATTATATCATATCAAACCAAATCAGTTAAGATCAGACCGTGACAATTATAAAATACAAAAGAGACCAGACATCTATCAGACTATACCAATTTAAAACATATCAGATTAGACCAAATCAAACTAGACCATACCATAAAAATTTCACTTTAAATAAAAATATCTGAAGTTGAAGTACGTAAACACATCTAAAATGCATCATGTATTATGAATATAAAGAAAAAATAATTCTTGAATGTAAACAATCCGCTACAAATCTCTTTACCCCATACAAAAGTTTATCATCTTTGATTTTATTGGTCAAACTATGTTAAAATGTTACCAGTTATTTTAGTAATTACATTTTTGTTCATAGTCTCTTTACCCCATACAAAAGTTTACCATCTTTGAGTTTATTGGTCAAACTATGTTAAAATGTTACCAGTTATTTTAGTAATTACATTTTTGCTTAAATGATAAATTTTGTACCTTATTATAGTAATTCAAATAATCTTTATTTTCATATCATTTTGTCATTATTAGCTATTTTGAATAAAAATCTATAAGGTGTTTGGTTAATAGCCTATTCGTCATTTTTTTTTAATTTGGAGTGACTTGGTTGTTTTACTTTGTCAAACAGCTATAAGTGTTTGGTCAATATTTTTTTATTTGGTTGTAAGCTACGAAAAAGCCAAAAATGAAAAAAAGGCATTATGAGTAGCTTTTTAGAACAGATTTTCCATATTAATATTTAAAATCCTAATATACCCTCCCACTTTAGTCCTCTCGTTCATTATTTTATAATGAGAATATTATCCGAAATAGAACTAAAGATGTTTGAAAATTTCAAAATAGGATCGTCATGTTTTTATTCTCAAAATAGGACCATTTACTGCCATGTTTTGGCAGTACCAAACTTTAAACATGACAGTATTTTCTAAACTTCACAATAATTACTCTTATTTTGGGAATAAAAAACATGAGTCCTATTTTGAATTTTTCCAATTATTTTAATCCTATTTCGGGAACTTTCCCTTTTATATTTACTCAAAATATGAAATAAAATGAAAAATAATTACAACAACATAATAACACAGACAATAAATATCATCATGTATATAATTCATATTTTATAATATTATTTTAAAAGTCACTAAAAATCATATTTAAAATATTTATACTAAAAACACATGAATTTGTGCATATATAATATATAGTTAAACTAATACAACGTACTGTTTTGGAGCATTTATGTAATTGTGTGTGCATGTAGTTTGTAAATAATAATAATAATAGTAATAATAATAACAGTAACAGTAATAGTAATAGTAATACTAATGATAATAGTAATGATAATAGTATAATAATAGTAATAACAATAGTAATAATAATTAGTAATAATAATAGTAATAATAATAGTAATAATAACAGTAATAATAGTAACAATAATAGTAATAGTAATAATAATATTAATATTAAAATTAATAATAATGATGATGATGGTGATGATGATGATTATAATGATAATACTGATGATAATGATATAAAAAATGACAATAAGAATAATAAAAGTAGTAGTAATAATAGTAATAATAAAATAATAAAATAATAATGATAATAATAATAATCATAATCATGATGATAATGATAATGATAATAATGATGATGATGGTGGTGGTGATGATAATGATGATAATAATGATAATAATAATAATAACAATAATAATAACAATAAGATTAAGAATAATAGTAATAGTAATAGTAATAGTAATAGTAATAATAAAATAATAATAGTAACAACAATAATAATAAAAATTAAAAAATAATAATAATACTGATAATGATAATGATGATAATAAGAGAATATTACCCGAAATAGGACTTAATAGTTTGAAAATTCCAAAACAGGTCTGTCTTGTTTTTATTCTCAAAATAAGGCTAATTACTGTCATGTTTTGGCAGTACCAGACTTCAAACATGACAATATTTTCTAAACATTGCAGTAATCAGTCATATTTTTTGAATTTTTCAAACTGCTTTAGTTCTATTTCGGGAACTTTCCTAATAATAATGATGATGATATCTAGTAATAATAATAATAGGCCAATAATAATAGGGAAAATGGAAACTAATAATCCAATCTTTTAGCGATCTTCTTACAATAGTCCCACCTTTTGATTATTCATGAATAATCCAACATTTGCACACCATCTTCATTCACTGGTCCCTGGCCGATTTATGACATGTTATTCCAAGTTATTTTTTTATCTTTGCAAAACATTATACCATAATTCTCACCTTATGATGACATAATGTTATAAGGTGAGAATTATGGTATAATGTTTTGCAAAGATAAAAAAATAACTTGGAATAACAGGTCATAAATCGGTTAGGGACCAGTGAATGAAGATGGAGTGAAAATGTTAGATTATTCATGAATAATCAAAAGATGGGACTATCGTAAAAAAAGGTTAGATTATTCATTAATAATCGACACTTAAATATCAATCTTCTTCCTTAATTTGTAGTTGGACTGTAGAAATCGGCTGGATTATTAGTTTAGTTGGTTCGCCTCCCACATATTGATGTCCTTTGGCAATTGGGCATACCCTTTACATTTGCATAATTCAGTTCCAGCAGTGCATCCGCGTCACTCTCGCTCCCCATTTTCTCACTGTTAGGGTTTCAGGAGGCGCCGCTTTTGCTGTGCTCGATCTGAAAGCGTGCTGTCCACTTGCGCTCTCGCCGGCAGTCATCTCGGCTTCAGGTATTTCACTTCTGTTCGTACTCGGATTGATTGTGTATATACGAAATGCATAGTGAAATGGAGTTTGTAGGAATGCAATTTTTTACCCATCCCTTGATCTATACGTATCTGCTCATTTTTATCGCTACGATTTAGTAGAAGTAAACGAACGTTGATCTATCACTTAAATATCAATCTTCTTCCTTAATTTGTAGTTGGACTATAGAGACTGTGCGTGTGGTCGGGGGAACAGATTTGATTTTACTCGAGGTAGTTTTAGTGCAGCTTATACAAGTTGAACTCCTTCAAGCTAGTTGTTTTGGTACTAGTATAGAATGTCACGAATTTGATTTTTTCTGTGCTCGTTCCAATGGGTTTTGTTCTTTTGTGTTATATGCCCTGTGATTCTGCAACTAGTATATCGTTTGTGTTAAATGTGCAAACTCTAGAGACTGATTGGGCTCTGCATATATGAGCCTAATACATTTTTATTCTTATATATATTCCCCTTTAACACAATATGAAATCTTTGAGGAACTAATAATAGACTAAATTAATTGAAAATCATAGCATTTGTATTTTTTTACTAAGTATATTCTTTATAAATGTTCTGCATATTGACTAGACATATTTTACTTCACTATAGTCACACTTTAAACATTTCAGAAAATACACAAATGAAACAGCTAAAGTCACAATACTTTGGATATAAATTTGTCGTTTCTTCTTCATTCGTTTACTTCACTAAATATTTTCTTTATAAATGTTCAAAATCTAAAACAGGCTATTTAGCTCTAAAAGGAAAAAGAAACACTCATATACTCACTTAACTTTCTCCCCAGCCATCCTCTTCTTTCCATCTGTGCAAATGCTCCCATCTTTACACAACATAATTCTTTCACATTTGCAAAATGCACAATAACCACTCCTTCTCCGTGGACACGTACCTCTCTCTATTGTACCCTTCAAATCAGTATAGCCGTTCCTTCCCACTTTTTATTGATCTGATTAATATCTAGTAATCTTGATTTATTTTTACAGACACAACTCTTCTCTAGTTTCTAATATCCCCAAATGCTGAAGAAGAAATAAAATTACAAAACTCGGGTTCAGAAGTGGCCCTCCGGTCACAAGGTCGAGTGCAGACCCAAAAACAAAAAAATTAAAATTTTCAGGCCCAGTATTCTGCCTTGGTAAAGTTATGGCGAATTTTTCACAAGTAGACTAAAAAGTGAAAATAATATCACTTTTGTTACCCTTAAAAGTTTCTTTCAAATATAGATTATTTCAAAGCTTCTTTTCAAAAATAGATCATTCCATGTATGAAGCCCACCCACTCCAATTTCCTCTCCTGAGTCCGAACACATGCACCCATTTACGTCAATTATTGCCTCCTTTTCACACATGCACTCATTCACATATCCACACTCAACTTTTTACTTTTAAATTGAAAATATAAAAAATCATTAACTCATATAGTTGATAATATAATACTTAGAAAAAAATAAAATAATAAAAGAGAAATTGATTTTTAAAAAACATAAAAGACTAAAATAAAACTAAATTCCAAAATAATTAAATTGATTTTACAATATTGGAAAATTGGAAAATTGTAAATTAAATTTAAAAATTAAAGAAAATGAATTTAAATTTTACAAAAAAGTTAGAAAAATAAAAAACATGTAGAAATCCTAAGATAACAAAAATTGAGAAATATTTTTTATGTAGTGTTTTTGAATAGATAAAATAATTTATTTTATGAAATATAAAAAATCAAAAGTTTTATAAAAAGTATAAAATAGTTAAAAAAAATTGATATTCTACGTGCAGCATATTGTAATATAATATATTATTCAAATTATTTATTGGAATATATTTTACATAATATGGCTAGTGAAAACAAATTTTGTCCGAATATGTTTTAGCTATTGACTTCTTTTTCGGTCGTAAAATGTCTTTTGTGGTCGCTAATAGTCTTTAATGGACATCTTTTAAGTAATGACGACCAAATTTGCGTTCACAAACGGCCTTTTTTGTAATGTATGTTGTCGTTATTATGTAATGACCAACGACGAGTGTGTTTGTGGTCGTTAATAAGTAACGATGAGATCTCGTGTCGTCGTTAATTATTAACGACGAACTTTGTCGTTAAAACCAATAACGATGGAGCCTATAACAACCACTTGACGACGAAAAAAAGTGGTCGTTAAAAGCTTTAATGACCAACTTTTGAGCCTATATAAATCTGAAATCATCGAACGTACAGTATCACAAATACAAATCTGAGATCTAAATCTAAAAAGCTATGAACAGCCCAATTAATTCAATTCATATTGAAGATATGGTGATTAAACACATACCGAAGCAGCCGAGCTGGCAGGGGCGAAGGACGGAGGGCGGAGCCGCAAAGCCGAAAAGCCAGAGAGGCTGGAGGGTGCCGCCGGCGCAGGGCGGTAGAGGAGCAGCCGCGCATGTCTTCGACGCGCTCGAATCGCCTGCACCGGTAAGGCCATACCTGAAAGCGCATGATCTACTCCACCGGTAAGAGAGAACGAGAGGGCGAGAGATGATGAGAGGGGTGGGTGGTGAAAGGAGAGATGACGGAGGAAAGGATGAAGTAGGGTAGGAGGCAGTCTGCCAGGAATCGTCGATCATTATTCAGGGGTTGAGGCCGTTGTGCTTTGATTTAGGTTATTTCTGAAATAAAAAAACTAAAGTGAAAAGGTGAAAGTTTAAAAATGAAAAATAAATTATACGGTTACATAAATGAAATGCATTTATAAAAGATGGACCGTACTGGATAATTCCACAAAGTTATATGAGGCCCAGCTGCCAAAAGGCCCAAAATTAACAAACAAACATCTCTGGATCATCTGTCATCCACGCAGTTGAAGTGTCGAATGCGCCCGCCAAGTCGCCGACTACCTTCGCAGCTTCTCCATCGCCCGGTTGCCTGCTCTCCGCCACTCAGTCACTCACCCTTCAGCAGTTCGCCCATTCGGTCCTTACACTCTTCACCTTCCGTAGTTCCGGTATTTCTCTAGTCCTTCATTAATTGATTTAATTCAGAGTTGTTTATAAATATTTAGTTAAGTTAATGGTAATATTGTTTGTTGAAACCTAAGCAAACCATTGAGAAAACTATTCACAATATCTTTGTAATTTTCGTCAGATCTACGAATTTGACAATGTGTTGTAATTTTCAGCAGATCTCTAAATTTAGCTTTGGATTCATTCATTTGTGTCACCAGACCGATTCAGAAAAACTAAGATATGGGTTCTTTACCTAAGATCCCAACATGGCAGAAAAAATAATGTTTTTTATTTTCAGAAAACGTTTTGCTCTGCAAGTAAAAACCCCACACTTCAAATTAATGCAAATGGAACTTTTCAAAAGTAGGAATTATTGAAGCATGAATGCTGTGTTTTTTAAAACAATCACCAATTGCATAAGCTGGATTCAAATATAATCTCCTAAAAATACCTATGTTCAACACAATTGGGACTGATTTTTTTGCTCAACATTATCAATTTGAGGGATTTTTGACTTTTTCTCTGTGGTCAATACTTCTACAATACAATAGATATTAAAGCAAAATATCATGTTCTAATCATCAAAGAATAGTAATTAGTACCTTTAATGATATTATATTATATTTACCAAACATTAATTTTTGTTTATGTTTCAAATTTGTTTACATAACAGTAAATCTCAATAAAGAATGTCTTCATCAAAATTTGAAAACAAACCACTGACAATTCATTAGACAAAAATCGGGAGCAGTACACAATTTTTCATATGTTGTATTGATGATCTTTTTTCAGCTTATCAGATGATCCTTTCTAGGGTATTTACACCTATAAAACACTCACACACTGTAATGATAATATTATAACTTTTAATTAACTTTTTATTTTGGTCGTTAAAGATAAAATTTAGTAACGACGAATTCATTAGTCATTGTTAATAGAAACTTTTAACGATGACTTTTTAGAGTCGTCGTTGTATGGTCGTTGTTAAAAGACCTTTTTCCTGTAGTGCTAAAAACTGTGATTTTTTATGATCTTCGCCAACACACAAAACATATTACTCCGTAATTCTTATTGCTAATTATTGCTACATATATTTAATAGGTATTTTTGCAATTTTCCTTTGGTGACAAATGGTTATTGTTATTGTTGTGGCTAATGGTTATTGTTATCGGTGACAAACTATGCTTAATTTTTATTGCTAATGGTTTTGCTATAACAAAATGTTATTGTTATTGTCACTATTGTTGTCGTCAACGAATCCTATTTATATGCAAAAAATCCTATTTATATGCATTTTGATGCATTGAATTTGTCAACTTGTGGATAAGCATTGAAAATTAATAGTTATATTCATATATCTTTCGCAACATTCAAGACAAATGTATTTTCGAAAGGCTTTAAAACTATTTAAAATTTAATGTGTAACAATGGTGTGACAATTAAGTATACTCAAAAAACGTTTATTTGAAGATGCTTTGGGAGAAGCAAATTAGCACACAGATCAAAAAGTGGTTTTAACAAAATCGTTTTCTAAAAGTAAACACAAAGTAAATCCGCTAATCTAATAGAAAAAATATAGGGGGAATATTATTTGATTTTCAAAAAACAACCCTAGCTAATAGTACCCGCTGATCTGAATCCAAAGAGCAGGATAGAGCTTGGAGCTTGATATGGCTATTAGATCCAAGGATGCGATGAAGATGCTAGTCAAGAAGTTAGGTGGTGAGAAGAGCTTGGGGGCTGGAACCAAACAACAGCTGGAGAAATTGCCACCCAAGAGTAATGTTATTATGGGCCGTGCCCACCGTGGCCTGTACGCTGGGCGCCATATTCGCTTTGGCAACCAAGTCAGCGAAGACGGCGGAAACAAGTAAGCGTCAAGCTTATTTATTTGTATTTTTTGCTTCATAAATCTATTTGCTGATGCATTGCGTATTAGAATTGAATGATAGTAATTACTCCCTTTGATGATAAGAAAATGTCAGTGTTCTTGAGAAGCGTCCAGACTACAATTACGAAAGTTAATGACTTCTGGAGATGTATATATCTCTTATTTGACTGTCAGTAGCTTGAATCACACTTTCATTATTTTGTTACTGAAAATGTTTTGGAAGATGGCAAAACTAGAAAATCAGAAATTTTCATGGAGTACATGCAAAGTTCATGGAAGTTATGGCCAATAATGGGCATATGACTTTGTGAAGATTGCACCAAGGTGATATGAATTCCTCAGCTTATGTTTTTACCCCTCTCCTTAAAAGAAATTCATCCATTTTATCTATCTAATGAAAGCTGTGAAGCTCATTATCTCTCTCAGATAAAAGATTCTTCAAAGTTGTAGTTACCTCATTCTCTCAGACAAACTGTACAGCCAAGATAAGCCATCAACTATATTGCTTATCAATGATGAAGTAGTATCTGGAGCATGAGATGTTTTTCTCTTTCCGTAGTTGCACGATATGCTAACAACTCGTGATTGAACATTTTGAAAACCGAAACTAGTACTAGTTTCCTAGTGATAAAATGAATGAACTTTGTAGAGCACAATTTAATGTGATCTGTTTCCCCTGATATGACTTCATCTCCTTCGGCACATCGGTTATGGTGTTGTTTGACTGAGAGGTTGCCGGTTGGGAGTGACCTCTTGTAAAAAATTATGAGGGAAGGCTTGCTCCTTAGTCCTTACACACCTTGGGTGGAGCCCTTCCCTGACCCTCGCCTTAGAGAGGACACCAATGTGCACCGGGATGCCCTTTTATGACTCCATTTGTTTGGTGAGGTAGATTCATGAAAACTACTGGAAATGTTTACCAAGTGTGTGTAATACTCTTGAAACAACTAAGTGGAGTCCCCTATAATTGCTTGCTGTATTGTTTATTCAAACTTTTCTCCCTTTATGTGTAAGTTTTAAAAACTGCTCTGGGGTGGACCTAGATGCACAGGTGTGCTAAAATTTCCGCATCAGCAACTCAGCCTGCAGCAGATTTCAGAAGGTGTTCACATCTTCATGCATCTTGCCTCCTTTGCGCGCATCCCGATGCATTCACATGCCGCTTTGTGGCTGTAGGGTTTTTATTGCCATAGGGTTAGACTTATCTTCTGCCAGGTCATTGATTTAAATCTATATCTATTAATTAAATCCAATCACCTGATACATCATTGTGAAAGTTCAATAAGACTTGATTGTCCTCAAATGCCGGTGGTGGCTGATAGAGGGTAATCCTATTCTGCTGTTTTCGTTTTCTGAGTTTCGATTTAAAACTAATACGAAAGCTCATTTTCATTTTTTAACCTCATAAACTATTGAATCCTCAACCAGTGTAATACTAAGTTAGCTAAGTTATGAATTTCTTTCTGGATGTGACGTTCATATCCTGAAATGTAGGTGTAATATAATTCTGAGTTACCTAATGAGTAATGCTGTTGTTCCTTGATTACTGACTTGTGATTTTGACCTGAGTTGTTCAATTAAGCATCTACTCTTGTAGGCTATGCTTGGAACATACGGAGTAAAATGTACTCCCTCCGTCCCATTTGACTTTGCCATCTTTCCTTTTTTGGTTGTCCCAAAAAACTTTGCCACTTTCCCATTAAAGTAACTATTTTGTGGTTCTACTCATTTCTCTCTCCTCTGCACAAACTTCAACCACACAATTTTTACTATTCTTATTTCTCACCTAACTTAAGGAGTGCAAAGTCCATTGGGATGGAGGTAATAGTTGATAGAAAATAGTGCCATAGGAAAAAGTTCTTTTATGTAAAATATGTTGGCCCTTTTCCATGAATATTACTAAATTAATTTCAAAAGACAAATATGACTTATTTTAAAAGTTTCCAAAAACGTGACATATTTAGTGACTACTTCACATTAACTCGACATCTATAGTGACTTGTTGTTCTAAAATATACGGAGTACCATAGTTAGTTACTAGTTCACAATGACTTCTACACAGTGACTAGTCATAGTTTTATCTAGGGATAAGGGTCAGATAGGGCCTCGAACTTGTGAAAAAATGTCAAATAAGGTCATATTTAGGATGCTCTGTCCGGCTGACGCCACTTGGGGCGGTTCCCGGTGGAATTTTTTGATGATTTTTTTTGAGAATCTTATTCATTAAGTCTAGTTTACTCATATCAAATTTGAACTAAAACTTCCATCGGGAAGGCATTCAAATGAATTCTTGAAGATAACTGCTCTTTTAACTGCGCAATTATCTTCAAGAATTCATTTGTATGCCTTCCCGATTGAAGTTTTAGTTCAAATTTGATATGAGTAAACTAGACTTGATGAATAAGATTCTCAAAAAATTTCATCAAAAAATTCCACCGGGAACCGTCTCAAATGGCGTCGGCCGGATAGAGCATCCTAAATATGGCCTTATTTGACATTTTTTTTTTCAAATTTGAGGCCCTATCTGACCCTTATCCCTTTTATCTACATAGTGACTAGTCATAGTTTTATTAGTAATACATGTCATTTTTTGAATATATTTGTGTTTACCTTGGTTTCTATAAAGTATAAAAGTTTTAATAAAATTTACACAAAACTTTCCTCCGAGTTGCAATACTCTCATTTTCACGTTTGTCAACACATTACTTTGATTGTCAATATATTTAATTCCCTATTAGTAAAAAAAACTGGTTTTGAAAATTTGTAATGAGATGAATTCACCAATATTTTTCTCATCATCATTACTGCAGTGCCGCAAAGGCTCCCACACCTTCAGTGGGGTAAGGGAGGTCGGATGACGCAGTCTTACCCCTGTACTTAAGCACATAGAAACTGTTTCCGGATGACCCATAGTGAAAATCGCTTCGAAAATTGCATGGACCGATCGTTGCTTCATAACAAAGAAGCGCAGATAATTTAGTAAGCCATTTTGCTTTATTCCATCATATTCCCAAGCCAAAAAATAGTGAGTCTTTGACTCCATTGCAAATGATGAAAATAATTCACCAATATTTTTCTAAAAAAGAATTATCGCGTGCATGAATAAGTAAAATGTAGTCAAAGTAGTAGATGTGAATAGTGTGAAATTCTACATGTTGCAACTAAAAAGAAACGGAGGTAGTATGTAAATCAACTTTTTGTTCATTTGTTTGAATTGATTAAAGTTTTAAAACATTTTTCAAAATGACAAGGAAAGACTTGCTTCTTATACACGTGGTGTGAGACCCTTTTCCCGCAAGAAAGCCGATGTGCCCTGAGTTGTCCTGTTTTTATGTAAAAAAAACATATCTGACTAAGTATGTAAATTTATGTATGAAGTTTGGACCAAATTTCCTTCTCCATTTTCTTTCTGGTGCATTTCCAGGTGCCAAACAGGATTGATTCTTGGTAGTGTAGAAATAAATCATGTTTGGTTAGTGTGTTTTATATACGTACGTATTATCTACATATACTAGTGAACTTTCATTCATTTTATGATTAAATGACAAAAAAATGAACAAAACAGGACACGGAGGAATTGGAAGCCCAATGTGCAAGGCAAACGTCTGTTCAGTTACATCCTGGACCGCTTCATTAAAGTCAAGGTCTCCACTCATGCTCTTAGATGCATCGACAGAGCTGGCGGATTCGACGAGTACCTCCTGAAGACACCGTATGAGAAGATGGATTCAGAATTTGGGGTGTATTGGAAAGCTAAAATTCAAAATATGTATGAAGAGCTGGGAGAGAAGGAAGTGTTCTTGTCACTGGAGGATGAAGGGAAGATCAAAGAGAAATTCAAGGGATTGAAATTAGTTGAGAAGGCCCATTGTAGACAAGCGAGGGTTAAAATGTATGATTGGATACTCAGATCAGAAAAGATAGAAGACGAGGAGGCACATGAAGGGACTGATGAAGAAGCCGGTAATAGTGTAGAGGAAGCTTTAGTTTCTCAACCAGAATTTAGTACACAGATGGTTGCCAATGCTTGATGTTGTTCTAAGTGTTTTATTTTCCTGTCAAAACATCTTTTATGATATGGTTGTTACTCATGCGTGTGTTCAGGAGACTTCTGTATGCTAGCCTGTAAGTGCAGCTTTCATAAAATGTGCTGTCTCATTTACGCCTAGAAGAAGCTCAGTCCTAGGGATGGAGTCGGGCCGGGTAAACCAGACTGGAACCGGCCCGGCCTGGCCCACTACAGTAATGAACCGGCCCGACCCGCCGGCCAGGGTCCGGGTATTTTCGGGGCGAGCTTCGGGTCGCCAAAATAGGAACCGGCCCGGCCGGATCTCCAACGATCAAGTGATCAACTATTTTTTTATATAAATAAAACAGCTCCTCCTAGGCTCCTAGCCGTTGGGAACACACCCAAACGGCTCTATAGCCGTTGGAGGGCTTGGAGGGGGGGGGGGGGGGGGTCCAGGGGGGTGGGGTATAAAAAATACTATAAATACTCCTATTTTCTAAACAATTTTCTACACATCTTCTCCAACTCATCCTACTATCTATTCTCTAATAATCTTAATCATCTCCATCTTCATCTTCTTCAATTCTCTCTACATATATTTATACAATTATTATATGTACTTATATATTAATTTTCTACTTATAAAGACATATATTATATTACTAAAATTTATTATCTACTTAATATATACTTCATATTTACTTAATATCTACTTAATATCTACTTATTATATTATTGTTATTTACTTATATTTACATATTACATCTACTTTATATATACTTATACTGCGTATATATTAAAGTATTAAATATAAGTGTATTACTCATCTTATAGTAATATACTTATATATTATATACTATAAACATTATATTATATATTAGTTAAACAATTCTTATATCTACTTATATACTTATTATCTAGAGTTAATGACTCAAATAGGAGTAATTGCAAACTTTATTGCACATATAGGACTACTTACGAAAGTTAAGTTTCATAGGACCATTTTCAGAGCAGTTGGACAAAAATACCACCTTTTAATATATTAAATTTTAAAAATGTAAAATTAAAAACTCTTGAGCCCTAGCAGTAACACTATCATTGCCAGGACAAACCTCCCGCGGTTTTAAAGTGGTGGAAGGAAAAAGAAAGAACGTTCCCGGTTTTATCAAAGAAAAAAACTATTGAATTTTTTGCTCAAATTTGGTATGACTGAACAAGACTTTATTAAGAACATACAAAAAAATTCATCAAAACATACCACTGGGAACCATCTCAAATTGAGGTGGCCGGACCACCCTTTTGTCATGACGTCTTTATTCATTGACCGGAACCCCCCGCGGACAACACCATCAGAGGGTGTTTCCGGTGGAATGTTTTGATGAAATTTTTTGAGCATGTTCCTCATCAAGTATAGTTTATGCATATCAAATTTCAGCTCAAATTTAATTCGGGAAGGCAGTTAAACAAATTTTTGAAACATACTGTGTTTTATATATGTACAAAATGGGCCGTAAGACAAGAGCCGCCACTTGAAGTGGCGTCTTTTGTACTATAAGAGAAGAGCCACCACTCGTAGTGGCGGCTTTTGTGAAGTAATACAAGAGACGCCACTTGGAGTGGCGGCTTTCCTTAACCGTGGTTAATTCCAGCAGTATTTTGAGAATTATTCTTAACCCGTCAGTATTTCGGGAATAATTTATTTAATTAGCATTATTCCGGGAAAAAACTCAATTAAATTACTAATTAAATTAAAGTACTTAATCCTAGGGGTAGGCAAAAATATCAGAAAATTGGTATACTGCACTTACCGTACCGGAAAATACCGTAAAATTGGTATACTGTCATTTTCAGGAAGGTATTTTACCATACCGATTTATTTCGGTACGATAACGGTAAATGTTTTCAAATAACTTGATATACCGATATAACGGTAAACAATGACCCGACTAATATACTTGCTACAACTCTTCATCATTTTATTAAAAATATATACTCTGTATAATTTTATTTTCTATTGGGTCTTTATAACCTATTTTAAAAACTTGAATAATTAATTTTACATTGTTTGGCACAAATATGAGGAAACATCTTTCAAGAAGTTATTAAACGATAATTTACCAGAACTAAAAAGGAACAATAAAAATGGATACTTTACAGGGAAATAAAACAAAATGTGTCACATTTACATGGATTAAAACGTATTCAAGCCCTCGATTAAATGAAATAGGTTTCATATTATAACTTTGAAAAAAAGTGTACGGATTATAAAAGAAGTTTTAGAATAAAAATTTACAAAGGATGAAAAAAATATCTTGTAGGGAACTAAAACAAAATGTAGAATGTTTAGATAGGGTTTACAAATGTATTCAAACCCTTGATTAAATGACAAAACATTCAAATCATAATTTTGTAAAAAAATGTTCAGACAATAGCCCATAATCCTATTTATAGGGATTGCAAATGTGCTTAAACCCCTAATTAAAGAAACGATGAGACTTTCAAATTGTAACTTTGTAATACTTGCCTATGAAGTTAACCAGTGTTCTGTTTCTTTTTGTAAAATAGATCGGGAAAAGAATGCTGTTTTATTTTACAAAATAACAAAATATTGTTTTAAAAAGTGAAAGCAAAAAGGAATTCCCGGATTCTGGTCCCGGCGGGGCTCGAACCCGCGACTTTCGGCTCATAAGACCAACGCTCTAACCAACTGAGCTACGGGACCTCTTGTTGTCAGTTCTATGTTTGTAGTATATATTCGATAAAGATATTTAGCAAGAGTAAGACGCGAACGGAAATTGGAAACCGAACTGCTTTGTTTGTAGTTTCACCCGAAATTACACATGTTTATTTTTACTACTCCGTATAAAGTAAAATGTATTCCAACCATTTGTACTACTTATTTATTTAGTTTTCTAAGATTGGACGGGCAAAAGTTTAATGAAAAAGTACGGAAAAAATATATGTGATTGGGTCCGTTTTTAAATAGGATCATTGGTTTCATTTTTCTTATCAAAGCGGTTCATGTGTTTGAACTTCATTATCACAATAGGATTCTGACGTCTGACGCCGTTAGAAATCGGCAGAGAAAGATGATGAACAATAACTTCGATTTTAAAAAGTGCTCGAAAAATTAAAAGAAAAATATCGGTAGGTGTGCCTCGACAAGACGACTGCGAGACCATCTTTCTTTTTCGAGTTACCCTTGTCACCGGAAAGTCCACCGCAAAAGTGATATTAGCGAATTCAATTTAAAAAAATAATACAAACACATCTGAATTATCCAAAGACGAAGGTGGTTTGGATGTCATCTTGATGAGACGCACCTTCCGATATGTTTCTTTTAATTTTCCGGACACTTTTGAAATTCAGAATTATTTTTCATCGTCTTCCGTAGGCATTTTTAATGGCGTGATCCCCGCGCCAATTCATACGTTGCACCTCGGCACACAGGTCTATATTCCTCAACCCAGAGTTTCCTCTCGGCTTCATGAGTGAGAGACTAGGGGACTACCTCGTCCCAAATGCAGAAAAACAAAAACAACAAACATCCTTGTCAACCAAAGATCATTACACCTCGGCCAAGATCACAAAACACCAAAGCACAAAGTATCGAACAAAAGCAGGAAGCTCTACTCCCTTTCACCTCAAGATCTTTCGGCACAGATAGTGGGTGACTACTGATATAATATATAGCCTGAGACCCACATCTCACATACTCTAGGATACACAAGTGGCCCAAACCCATCCAATTATCCCCTCATGAGATGAGGGCACACACAGAAAAGAGAAGCCAAAGCCATATGACAATTGGATCAAGATAATTGATCATACTAATCACGTCGGCTAGTGACGTCTTGTCCAAAGACATATATCCCAGACAGAATCACTCAAGTACAACGAAAACACCAAGGACGAGGGGCACACACACCTCGGCTTACGTCTACTCAGAGTCGGTTAATGAATGACATGTTTGACTTCAGAACTCTCATCCATAGATTAGTTTACACATATACATGCATTTAATGCATTACTTATTTATTACTAATATAAATACCCTTGAGACAAATGTACTCGATTATAATTTATAACTACACTGTAGGACTAATATAAGAGCCATTTATCCATTATGTATCCACAATCAAAATTCATCAACACAAAGAAAAATGAACCGACGGAACATAATGATCACACCATGTTGTGACACGAACTCAATCCGTATAATCAATACGCCGACTCACCGAGCTTGTGCTGCCTGTTTATTAGGCTAATTATGTGTGTTTAAGTTTTTTATTTTTTTAAAGAGATTTATTTAGGGGTGGGCGCGGTCCAGAACGGTCCGGTAAATTGGTAAAACCCGTAATGTATCCGTGAGGTTTTTAACGGTCTGGTACGGTCCGGTTCCAAGGATAGAACCGTTCGGTACCATGTCGTTTCGGAACGGTACAAAACGATACGGTACAATGCCAAACACATGCTAACTTTTTTATAAAAACCTTGCAATTAGTAGATATCATTACACCAACCAACTCACATGACATGTTGAAATAAATACAGGAAATTGCATACCTAGTATTAAAATTTACAAATACACAAATAGTGCAACACAACTAAGAAAAAGTATAGCAAAACGATGACGCACGAGATAAATATCATTTTTAATTTACTAAGTTCATGTGAAAATATAAAAACGAATATCATCAAATTGTTTAATATAATAGAAATCTTCAACGTTCTTCTTCTTCGTTCTAGGTTAAATATTACTCCGTAGTTCTAATTTAATTAATTAATTTATTTATTTTTTTTATCAGGAAGCTAGAGGATTGCCTTTTTATTTTATTTTTTTAGTTCTAATTTAATTTATAGTTGAACCTTGAGAGCTAAGATTTAAACCATATTAATTAGGTTGTAAAAAATGCACAAATATGATACAACAAAAAGTCATGTACACTACATTACTAGAAATAAATAATCATTAATGATTTCTGAAATTTTAATATTGTTTCAATACATACCAAAATATAACATAAATTATCTAAAAAGAAAAACTAACAATATATATATAAACAACACATTTTAGATATCTTAGGGACACATGAATACATACTTGGGGTA